TTTTTCTTTTCCCCCTCTCATATGATCATCCTCTGTGCGCTGAAACCGAAACATGTTTCCCTTTGTTCTCCGGGGCTGTTTCCTGCCATTACAAGTTGAATGCACTGTAACTTCCCCCGATTTCCTCACTTCAAATTCACACATGGTCCCGTCACTGAAACAAGCCATGGTCATTAGGAGTCCGGCTATCAGATCTGAAAACAAAGAAGGAAATATAATATTTACCGTACAACTGCATTCTAGCGCACGAGGGAATTCTAAAGACAGGACGTGGACAATAAGCTCAATATTGTTCAAATGCTTTTCAATTCAAACAGGGCTGTTCATTTTCCGATCCACTGCGGAGGGAAGAGAATCCCTGAATCGCTCCTCCCGAGGCATTAACGATTAGCAGCTCAGTGCTTACAAAAATTAATTCTTTGTCTTGGCACAATGAATTCATGCATCGTGGGCACGCACACAGAATGTCAGTGACAACACCCTCCCTGGAGAGTAAGGCTGTGCAGAACCGAATGTCAGCCGACAAGACTCTCTCCCAAACAGCCAGGCTATTATGCAAATGCTCTCCACAGCCGAAAGAGAAGAGAGGCTGGAATACTGAAGCAAGGGTGCTTAGTACAGGGGTCCCCCACTCTGCTTCTGGGGACCCCCACTCCAGCTGGAGGTCTTTCCAGCCCAGCGCTTTACTTAACCTTCTAATTTCATTAGCGTTTCTGTTAACTGCAAAGGTAAATCCTAATTGGAATCTCTGCAAGTTGATTTTTCTATTCAAAGGTTGGAGATCTGACACTATGTGTGAAATGAGATGGTTAAAAGGTTAACTTGGAAGATCTTTAGGAACTAAAAAACTAAAATGGGGGTGAAGTGAATTGTACAATTAATCAGTTAAGGGTTTGATTAAGGGCACAGCTGGAATGAAACCAGCAGTTCTGTGGGTCCCCAAGATCAGGAACTTCAGGGGACCCCTGGACCAAAGCACCACTCTCGCACCTGACCTTTGGAGAACCCAACATGAGCAAATGAGGCTTTCCCCCTCGCTGACCCGCGCCCCCAGCAAGCCCAGACCAGCGCCGTCCCCTGTGGTGGGCCCAGACCCCAGTCCAGTGTCCACGCTGGCCCAGCTCACACAGAGGCTCTGGGAAGAGGCCAGGTCTCACCGCAGCCCGAGACTTCACCACAGAGAGGTGGGCCCCCTCACGCCCCTCTCCCTGCACAACCACAGCGACACGCGCCGAGGCTGCACATGATAATGACACCAGAGCAGGACAGGACCGCCCCCGAAACAGCAGCATGTCAACCCAAACCCCTTACCTGTCCCTGCTTGAACCCCTCCTCGGCCCACTAAGTCAAGAGACCTCAGTGCAGCTTTGAGAAATTTGGTTTCATTAAGCATAAAAAACATTCGATTTGAAATAAGAAGGTTATAATTTGTGAATGTTGATTGCCCGTGTAGTACTGAGAAGCTCAGCAAGCTTCAACAAACACCTTCACGGGAGATGAGATGCCTTTGGAAAGAAACTCAGTTTGCAGACGTAGCACATGGAGATGCGGATCCCAGCTCAGGCCCTCCCATCCTAACCGAGAGCGTGCTTCCACAAGCAAGGAGGCCTCTGTCCTTGAAGAGCACTGTGCTAATGGAAAGAACCTTACAGTTCTCCACCGCTTGTGAGCCAAACTACAACACAGTGTACAAGCTAGAATATTTGCAATTATTCCACAATCATAGCGCGATGATCGAACCACTCTGCGGATGGTACAAGTCTCATCAATGACTCACACACAGTCAAGTCACTCCTGAGCCAGTGTGAGTCATGTCAATACAGAGATATAGTACGAGTTGGCAGCCTGGGGGAGGTTTAAATGACTAAAGATCAATTAGTCTCTGGACCATAGAGACTGTCTTGCTTCAGGGGGCTGATGAGCTACTGCAGGCAGAAACCAGGATGTGTCTCAGACTGCACTGCAGTTCTGCCCTTCGCTCACAAGCCACCACACTGGCCTCCTCTACCACTCTGGCTCATCAGAACGTTCACCTTTCAACCCACCCTGCCCGCTTGGTCAAGCAGTAGCTGTGTGACCCCAATGCTTTGTCCTGCCGTCTCCAACAGATACCCCATATTTGGGCATCACTTGTTCCAGATTACCAAGAACCCACTGCGTGTCCACACGCTTCCTGTTCTTCCCCTGAGCGGACTGCCTGCTGGTCTCCACTTGTCTCCCCCTGGCCTCCTTCCGCTACTGCTGCGTGCAGCACACCTGACCACACAAGCTGCACACGGACTGTGCAACACGCCCCGGGGCTGACACTGCAGACGCCTCCTAGGATCTTACAGCCTTCGGTCTGGAACCTGTCTGTAAAAGACTGTCCCCCAGGACCACTCTGGGTGCTCTCTGAACTCTTTCCAAGCCCACATTAACCAGCTGCTCTTCATGGGGTCTCACTAGCTACTGTAAAGCTGGATTTAAAACCTCACTTGAAGGCCCTACTCCTGTCCTCACAGCGATGCAGGTCAGGCAGTAGGGCTGTTCTCTCTCGGCAGCTGGTCCTCCAGTCCTGTACTGCAGCTCTGCCTGAGAGTGTCCAGCACACATCTAGGAATGATGCTTTTTCTGAAGTCCTCAAGATTCATCAATGCCTACACTTGTTTGCAGTTTACTATGCTGGCCATAGTAGGGGCAGCTCAGCAAAGTGGGAAAGTGACAGGTAGGCTGTGGGTTCGAGTGCCTGCTTCAGACACGGCTGTTGTGTCTCTGGAGGGTGGGAGTCGCCTGCTCTCTTGTCCAGTTAACACTACAACACCAGCAAGAGCAGCTAGCAGGAGCACTAGTTCGCAATTTGTGTAGCAATGCAGTCGAAACGCTACCACAGCCGGGAGGAAGTGGTGCCCAGGAACTGAAACAGAGCGGCTGCAAGTTCCTGTGCCGGACCGACATCGCAGCAGGCTGCTGGCTCCTGGCGACCAGCATCATCGCAGACCACACCACTGCTGCCCAGGAGGGGGCGAGGGGGCACAGCGCCGTCAGGTACGTTCTGTCCTCGCCAGAAGGACCCCACACCTGCCATCTCTCTCCCCTGCCTCAGTTTTCACACAGTAGGGTCGGACAGACCTCAGACCCAAAATAATCTGCAGCAGCAGCTCAACTAACCAGAACAGAGCTGCTCTGAACACACAGCCCACAGCCTGAAATAGCCGCAGGAGCAAAAACCTGCACTTATATTTAACATGTGAGAACTCACATGTTCTGGGCAAGAGATCATTTGCATTCTCTAACTTTCACTCTGCTAAATAAGAGCAACTCACAAAGCATTCATTCACTCCGATACCCATTTCCCTCTGCTGACTTAAAAGGAAAGATGGTGATTTTTGTCACTTTAGGAGTGAAACTGTAAGCAGCAGCTTTGCCATTCATGTCCACAGAGCTAGGGGCAGTGCTGTAATGTATCGCCAATTCACTCCGATGGCCACGCTGCTGTTCCACACCACACAAGACATCCGAGCTGCTGTGAAGACCACACTTCACTGTTGAAGTCTCGGCCTGATCCACGCAAAGGCAGTACATCACCTCCCAGGTGGTCAGGCCCGGCCCGAGGGCCACAGCCCAGCCGGTTCCATGGGTGACCCTCAATCAACGCTTCATACTGCAAGGCGAGTGTGCAGGTGTGTGACTGCAAAAAGTCAAGTGTCGTTAATTATATCGAATAATGCTGTTCCACATTCCCTGTTTTGAGTCTTCAAATCAATTTATTAAGACTTGCAATCGTAAGGTATATTATATACATACAATTTTCAGTTCAGTACATATGAGATCTCGATCTTCCCTTATGCACTGCCTCTGTACCCATATATAAAATACTCAGCTGAGAGCTCTTGCAGTGCAGACGATGTACACGAGCTACGCTCATTCGTTTTCTGTGTTTTTCCACGTTCACCAGGTGAATTTCGGTAACGGCATTTTAAAATTAAGTATACGTGCATAATCTAAGCTACAATAGTTTGCAATAAATAGGTATAAAGTGGCAAAACTGTACTAAGAATCGATTTTGTTTCGCAAATATCCCGAAAGAAGGCATAATTGAGGTAGACAAGGCGGGCCCGGGAGGGGAACGATTTTCAGATTTTGAAAACAACACGCACACCAGGCTCCGTGCCCACACACGGCTCAGCCCCCCCGGCTCAGGGGGACCAGGACCAGCCAGCACACCCGGGGACCCCACGGGGACCCCTCTCCTTCCCCCCCTGAGGCCAAGCACGACCGATGGAAAAAGTCAACAGTTCGGTAACCTGGCCTGTAGGTGCGTCTCCCCTCCACCTGGATCTGGGCTGCTTGTGTAACACGTTTTACCACACGAAGCTCAAAAGAAGAGCACCCTGCGTCCCTACTCCCGCACCGTCTGGCTCTCGACCGAGGACCTGTTCATTGCTGATCCTGCCGTACAATTTCTTTTTTAATCTAGTTACACACAGTATAAAACGATCCTTTCTCGTAATAAACACGCCGGTGAGAAGTGGCTGATTTCCAAACAAACAAAACAGTGGCTCCTATCTGTTTTTTCCAGTTTGACCGGTTTTGTTATTCAGTGCACTAAGGAAATGACTTCCTTGCCCGTAACGAGAGAAATAAGGGAATAAACAAGCACACATAAGGGTTTTATGTCGCCAATACTAAAACAGGCTAGAGTGGTGTCTTTTAATATACATAAAAGCACCTCGCTAGTGCCAGCAAGTTTCGCGGACCCACCAGCGAGCCAGGCGGACATCTCTCTGCTCTGAAGCCTGCAGGACACCGGCTGGACGACCACAGCCCGACCTACCTCCATCCGAGCCCAGCGCTGCTGTCCAGCAGCCGGGAAGGACGCACAGCAACAGCCACAGCACCTCGGTCTTCATCTTCCGACTCCCCGGTCTCCGGCTAGCTGGTCCCAACACCGTTCGCCTTCTGCGATTTTAAATGCTGCTCATGCTGGCGGTTGTATTTCCTCTTTCCAAAGTGCACGGTGGAGCGGAGCTGCAGCTACCGGCAGGAGTATCCGAGCGGGGCGAAGTAATCCCGAGATATTAGGTGGTCTCTATCCCCAGACAGAGCAGCGCGAATGCCAGCCGCCCTGCGTGAATCTAGATATTAGCAGTCTCCCTGCAGCGCCGCATGAACTTTATAGAGACAGCACACGCCTTCCCCAGTCACCGTTCACAAAACATTTAAAAATACTGCTTGTGCAGGATGTTGGAAGTTGATCCCCCGTTTTCCTATTTCAGGAAGTCTAGATGAATCCGTGGAGCACGGCGAGAAATCGCTCTCCTCTCACAGCCTCGCTCCTCCCCAAGCGCTCTGCAATAGTTTGAACAATACAGTCTCTTCTGCTGTCGGCTTTCTGTTGCGCCTCAGAGGCAGGTCCCGGGAAACGCTCCTCCCGAACCGCCGGACCCAGTACCCAAACAGGACGCGCACGAACCGAGCTCTCCCGCGCCGCAAGCCTGAGCGACTGGGGACGGGGGTACAGGCCCGCCCCCGCACGTCACACAGGTACAAAGCCGAGCCCACGGCTAAAAGCACAGGTTATTTACATTGCATGTCATAAGAAATGAAATATAAGTGATAAGAAAAAAAAACTTAAAATTTTCGGTATCCTAAAAATTACTTCGATCTATTTGACGAACGCTGGCGTTCTAATTCGTCCCGCCTATTGACTATTGTTATATCTATTTTTCACTTCATCCCCCTTCAGCACGATAAAATAAATACTATTAAACCGACTTTATCTTGTGAGCCACAACATCATTTCTTTTTCCCCCTATGTTGAATGGCTTACAGCCTTTATTCTAAGAGTGTGTCCCGGACTTGGCCGTAATGTAGATCTGTCCGGATCTGGGCGTTCTTGCTACCCGTCTCTGCGGTAGTAACAGCAACGAAAACTTCAAGCTGATGCACAAATTCATCAGTTAATACACTGCAGGATCTGAATAAAATCTTTTAATTCATTTGCTTTGATCAAATCTAACAATAAATAACAGGGGAAATATATTTTTACTTGTAACCTCTTTTCGTCTTGTACATTTTGTATAAACTATTGTGACCCTTCTGGTCCGGAGGTCAGGCGGAGTGGCCGATTAAACGGAGACATTTACAGTAATTAATGAATCCCGAATACGCAAAATGTCTTACATCTGTGAACAGCAGTTTTTTATTTCATGTTAATTAAGAGAATGATGGCTTTATTGTATCCCTGTTGTGAACTACTTTCCCACTTAAAGTGCCGATTCACAGTTATTACAAGGCAGAGATCAGCTATGAATGGAAAAAGAAAGAGAAATAACAACGACAGTAGTGGGCGGCACTGCGGCGCAGTGGTCAGCATTCCTGGGGTCCAGTTCCAGGCCTGGGGTGCTGTCTGTGTGGAGTCTGCATGTTCTCCCCATATTTGTGTGGGTTTCCTCCAGGCGCTCTGGCTACTCCTCCCGCAGTCCAAAGACATGCTGGTGGGTCAGGTGTCTTCTGGGAAATTGTCCCTGGTGTGAGTGGGTGTGTGTGTCAGCTCTGCCATTGGCTG